TGATGGGATCTGATGTGCTAAACCAACAGAGGATTAAAGATGGGATGTCGTTGTTGTTGCTAAGTGCCACTGAGGTGGTTCTAACTCACAGGGACCCTATACAGGGTTTCCAAGGAGCAGCTGATGGGTTTGAACTGCTGACCTTGATCCCACCACAACTCTGGACCCAACATATGGGAGATTCCCAAGGAAAGAGATGTGAGCAGAGAAAAAGGGACCTACTACCACCAGGAAAGAAGAGTCATGAGTGGAGTGTGTCCTTTGGACACAGGGTCAGATCCCTTCCCTGAGAAACTCCTAAAACCAAGGAAAGACTGATGCCAAGAAGCATGGAGACCCCAAGGAATGCTGGGTCTACAGATGCTGAAAGGAGACAAGGACCTTTCTCCAGGGTCAGAGCTTTAAATTTGGACTTTGGGCCTTCTACACTGCAAGAAAATAAATTACTGTTAGAAGCATGGTATTTCTACTATAGCAGTACTGTTGTTGTTATGTGCGATGGAGTCAGTTCCAACTCATACCGACCCTGTACAGGGTTTCCAAGGCTGTAAATCTTTATGAGAGCAGAGAGCCTCATCTTTCTCCCGTGGAACAGCTCGTAGTTTCGAACTGCTGACCTTGAGGTTTACAGCCCGATTCATAACCACTACACTAGCAGCACTAGATAACTAAAACTAGCCAGGAGATTTTTGTAAAATGAAAGCACTAAATACACTTGGTATAAAACTACAATAATAAAAGGTATGTGGATGCCAACAAGTCAAATTTGAAGTCATACTGACTCCCATGTGACAGAACAGAACGGAACCAGAGTGTTTTCTTGGCTGTAATCTGTCTCACATGGAGCCACTGGGTGGATTCGTACGCCCAACCTTTCAATTAGCAGCCATGTGCTTAATGACTCCACGAGGACTCCTGTGGTTGTTAGGTACCACTGAGCTGGTTCCAACTCATAATGATCGTATGGCCCAGTTCTGCACCAGCCTCATACTAGTTAGGTTTGAGCCCATTGTCGCTGCAATAGGTCAATCCATCTCCTTGGGGGTCTTTCTTTCCTTCACTGAACCTCCAAGCATGCTATGTCTTCTCCAGGGACTGGTCCCTCCTGACAACATGTCCAAACATATGAGATGAAGTCTCGCCATCCTCGGTACTAAGGAACAATCCAGTTGTGCTTTTTTGTCCCTTTAATTTAAATTTTTAAAAATCTTTTTATTATGAATTAAGGTTTACTGAGCAGATCATGTGTTTTACATTCAACACCAGTCCCCAAACAGATTCTCTTGTTTTTCTGACAGTCTACAGCACTTTCAATAGTTTTCCCTCAAGTCCCATACAGTGTCGCTGAGTCGGAACCAACTCCATGGCACTTAACAACAACAATGCCTAAGATATCAGTCTTCATGTATTTCATTTCATTTTTTACGACTTCAAATTTTCCTAGATTGCTACTCTGTACACTTTATGTGTTGGTTTATTAATGGATATTTTCAGCTGTTTCTTCTCAATTTGAGTTCTGCCACATCAGCAAATGAAGGCCCTGAAAGTTTTACTCAATCCACGCCATTAAGGTAAACTATACTTTGAGGAGGCAGACATTGTGCGTAGCCACAAAACACTGTCTGATACAGTATGCACCATGAGCACCTCAACTTGGAAGGCACTCCAAATACAACTGAGGAAGACTGGCCTCCTCAAAGTACATGGAGCTAAGAATTTTTTAAAAAGTGAGAGAGAGTAAAAAAGAGCTACTTCTATACTTATTTGGTGAAACTTGCAAAATGAAGTCATGAAAGAATTAAAAGTACAATCTCAGCAGATTCCTCTTTTTGATAACATTGGAATAGGCTAGTGTTTTCTACAAAGAAATAAATCACAGGTACCATGAAACAGAAAACAAGGCACTTTGACTATATTAAATGTTTTTTTAAAAAAATACATAAATATCTACATGAACACAGTTTATTAGGGAGAAATATTTGCAATATATGACCTAAAGTGCAAATTTTCTTAAGATACCTCTTGTAGATGTATAAGCAAAAATGACAAGACAGTAGAAAAGTAGGCAAAGAACATGAACAAGATCACAAAAAAGAAAAATCCATGACTTACAACGATGGTCTATATAATTTATAACCGAGGATCCACATATTAAAATGAGGTATGTCTCATCTATCTCCTAACAAAGAGGAAAAAACTCTGACACATACAATGTTAGTGAAGATGTGGGAAAATAAGCACTCTCATATCCTACTGCTGGGCCCAAAGACAGTGCAGGATTTTTGGAGGCCAATAACCATCAAAATATGAATAAGCAGCCCCGTTGCTGAAATTGAAACTTAGCCAAGACAATAACTTGGTGACTACAGAGAAAATCGTATTATAAATCAGTAGTGTCCAAACGTTTTTAATATGTAAAATAACTTTTAGTATATGCTTCAAAATGTTTGTTGTTACGTGCCGTCGAGTCAATTCCAAGGCATTGTGACTGTATAGGGTTTCCGAAGAGTAGCTGGGGAGTCTGAAAACAACCTTGCTGTCCAGTGATTATCCTACAGCACCACAAAATGTTTAATTATTTATAAATAATACACCTGAGCTACTAAACTGAAAAGGGGAAAAGATGAAGCCTTTTGTTCCTACAAAGATTTACAGCCTTGGAAACCCTATACAGGGTCATTACGTGTCAGAACTGACTCCATGGCACTTAACTAAATCATCCCCTCAAAGGAAGTTTTTAAAAAATCTGATCTGAGCAAATTTTATCAGCAGCAAATTTGGCCTGAACGGACACAAGGCTATTTGCAGTCTTTATTTCTCTAGCTCAGTGTAAATATTTGAAGATTCACGCATTTTTCTTGTTTGTGATTATGGATGCTGCCCCAGACGCCAAAGGAAGTGCGAGGTAATGTGTGGCACATGTGCACATGAACCTGAGCAGAACACTTCTGAATTCTGAAACCAGCAGGTCTCAGCTTTGGATAAGGGATTAAGAACCTACATAACCTTTTCCTAAAGACTGACAAATGTGATAGAACTAGTAAGTATTTAATGACTGACTAAATTCTGACTCATTTTAATGACCATCAGTTTTTTGCCTTTTGGGCCTAATGAGTGTTTAGGGCCATTAGCCCTGTGTACTCTAAGTCATAGACAGCTACTTGAATTCTGCCTTCCATAGTTTTTATTTTAGGGGGGAGGTCTGAGGTGGGAGTAGAGTCTTCTATCTTGTTTTGAAGACCACCAGTTGTAAATTCTCCGTAATCCCTATCTTCAGCACCTCCTTTTTCCTTTCCATTTTCCCGTAGCCTTGTTGTTGTTAGGTGCCATCGAGTTGGTACCAATTCATAGTGACCCTATGCACAACAGGAAGAAACACTGTCCAGTCCTGGGCCAACCTCACAATGGATGTTTACAGCTGTTTCTCTTCATCTTGAGTTGTGCCCCATCAGCAAATGAAGGTCCCAAGGGCTTTATTCCATTTTCATCATCACAGTCAACTCTACTTTGAGGAGGCAGCTCTTCCCCAGTCACATTTTGAGTGCCTTCCAACCTGAGGGGCTCATTTTCTGGCACTATATCTGACGTGTTTCACTGCTATTCATAAGGTTTTCAGTGACTAAATATTCGGAAGTAGTTTGTCTCTCCTTCTTCTTAATCTGTCTTCATCTGGAAGCTCATCTGAAACCTGTCCACCCTGGGTGACCCTGCTGGTATTTAAAATATTCTGGCATAGCTTCCAGAACCACAGCAACACAAAAGCCACCACAGTACAACAAACTGACAGACGAGTGGTGGCCTGTAGCCTTAGACCAGACAATTAAGTATGTATGAGGCAAATAAATTGTCTCTGAACAAAGTCTTAAAGGCTTTACACTGTATACTTTATGACATTTATTTTGACTTGCTGCTTAATGGGCCTACTTCCTGATTCTCAACTATGTGTTGGAACAGAGAGATTGTCAGTCACTAAAAACTATATTATTTTATTATAAGCATATAAAGGGAACATATACATTGTTCCACAATTTCAGGTTAAAAGTAACTCTTGAAATGAAGTACTGGAAAAGTAAGTTCCCTGGGGATAGGGGTTTTTACTTTTACCACTGCTGTATCTCAATACCCAGAACAATAAATATTTAATGAAGGAAGAAGCACACAGGGTGAGAGGGAGAATGTTTTGCCCTGACAGGTCCTGAAGATCCAATTTCGGGGGAAACCCTGGATGTGTAGATGAGACAGGTGCTGTGGAATGCCAGAATTAAAGGCAGATGAAAGAAGGTACGACGTCTTAAATAATGATATTCACATGCGTTAACAGTTTGGTAGATGAACTCTTCAGAGATAAGGGAAAAGCTGCCAGCACCAGCAGATTATAATGTGCCCTAACTTTCAGACAAAAAGGAAAACAACATTTTAAACCAATGCCGTTTAAAATGATATAGACTCCGCACACTCCCTCTCCAATACAGCTAAGATGACTGTATTTTTTACCCTATACTATGTGTCTTAGAAAGGCAGAGTTTCTCCATGCCAGCAAACACAGTGAGGCTGCCCGGGGAGGAAAACGGGTTATGTGGTCTACAGTTTTGAACACACCGGAGGGTGAGACTTGAAGAAGGCGATCAGTAAGGTTTGCACAAGCGCCCCAAAGCCTTCCCAGAACAAAGTTGTAATGGGTCCAAAATGAGTATGTTGCATCATAGAGGGCCAAGCTGGAGAGTAGCAAGAATGCTATTAGAAGGGTAAGTATTAACGGGGATAAGAAGCAGTACTAGGTAAGAGAGAACAGCCGACTTGGGGGAAAGGATGTAAGAGAATTTGGCGCAGGTAGAGGTTCCGGGGACGTGCAGGTGTAAGAACAAAAAGTAAGCGTAGCCGAAATCTGGGGGATGGAAGGGCTGAAGGATCCTAAGGGTCAGCCCAATCAGGAAGCTTTACAGCTCGGGCTCCGGGCCCGGCGTAGTGCGCCAGCCGGGCCGGACAGGCCACGTTCTTACCGGCCCGCTCGTGTCCGGTCGCAGATCCTGGAAGTCGGCGCCGTAGATGGCCTCCAGCGCCTGCAGCTCGTGGTCCTGCCGCTGCGGGTAGCTCTCCGGCGGTTCGTCGCGGCCGCGGCCGGGAGCCCCACGGCCCCCAGCCATTGCAGCGCGGCGGCCCAGGCAGGGCGGCCTGCTGTATGAAGCAACACCGGTGGGCCCGGGGGCGGGTCTGAGGCGAGATGGGGGCGGGGCTCCACGTCGGGGACAGGCCCTGCGCCGGGGGCGGGATCGATCGGGGCTTTGCACCCGGCGGGCTAGGGGCGGGGCTCCTTAAGGAGTGGGACCACGGGATGCAGGGAGGGAGGTGTTTGTCCAATTGCTGCGCGGGAACGGGAGTAAGGCACCTACAGTAATGGTGGTGGTGGTGGTAGTGAATCGGTGCCGACTCACAGCGACCATGTATAGGGTTTCCGAGGCTGTAAATCTTTCTCATCTTGCTCCCGCGGAACGGCTGGGACTTTTGAACTGCTGACCTTGAGGTTAGCAGTCCGACTCGTAATCAGTACGCTACCAGAATGGGAGATCAAATCACAGGACGGAATGACAGCGCCAAATAGTTTGGTTTTCAGTAAACACTTTAAAAACAGCAAGAGAGTGAAGGGCAGACTTAGCTAGATTCTCAATTTCTTGTCCTACTTTGAACCCTCCCAGTAGCGTTGTTAGAGGGATTGAGGAATGTGTGCGGAGACACTATCAGAGGCGGTAACACCCAAACAGCTGTGTATAATCTTGTGCGTGCACAGTGTTTCAGCAGAAATGTATTATTTTAAGTTAAAATATCTCTGTATTTCAAACCCACCAGCCAGTCTGGAAGAAAGGTGAAGCTGTCTGCGGCTGTGACGATTTACTGTCTCGGAAACCCCAGATAGGGTCTTTATGAGTCAGAATCCACTGGACTGTAGGTTTGCATAGTTATAAAACAAAAACAAGCTTTATAAATCCAGTTTGTATGTATCAATATACCTCTAAGGCTAAACTCTACGCTAATCTACTTTTTGAACCTTCTAATGCTCTTAGGTCAGAAATGTCATTATTACCTAATTAAACTGATGCTCTGAATCTTGCCTTTCATCTGAACCTGGTTAGGAGCACATGCTATTGTTTTCATTGCTGCTGGTGTTTTTATAATAACCGATTTTGTCAAATTTTCTGGTGATTTAGCAACAATATTATGGCGATTAGTATTTGCAAACCTATACTTTTTTTTTTTTTTTTGAGAAAGTAATTAAAGGGAAAGGAGAATATTTTTAAAAGACTTCTATTCAGTTACTAATAAAGTAACTATAATGTAACTAAGGAGTCCTGGTGTGGCGCTGGAAGGTCAGGGTTCAAGCTCACCAGCTGCTCCTCGGAAACCCTATACAGGGTTGCTATGGGTCGGAATCGACTTGACAGCACTTCACAACAACAACATAACTAATAATGTTGTAATCCAATGTAGAAAGATTTTACAAAACAAAGTCCCTGTTAGTATTCATATTGAAATATTAAGGGTACAGTTCTTCTTAGGTCAGCAGCACCTCTTCTCTGTCATGTCTGCAGTCTGGCCTCTCTGACCCTCAGTCCCTTAGCCTGACTTTACCCAGGTTTGACAATATTACTCTTTCAGCACTCCTGATACATGCTCAAAGGGAACTCAATTGTGCTAAAAGCCTGAGCCTGAAGATACTTAGCTTTAGCTCCAGGGGTCAGCACCTAACACACCAATTAAGTGCCTGGAGGCACTCAGCTTTATTCCCTCTGTGGACCAGGAAGTCCACCATTCTGTTTCCTGCTCTGGCTCTTGATTTCACTGCTGTTGTCCCTCTGCCACTCATTTGCTGCTTCTCTGGTGTCACAGCTTTCTGTCCCTGGATCAAGACGATCCAGTGTGCAGGGATCTCAGTGTCTAAAGAATTCACTCCTCTCCTGGCTCTCCTTTCTTAATGGTAGTGAGAGCCTTCTATTTACTTCTGAGATGGTTCATACTATACCAAGCAGGATGGCAAAACTGACCAAGCCCCCCATTAGAGTTCCAAGTTTTTACAATGACAATTACCCAAATGAATAATAATCCTATCAGCATCTTCCTGACCCTCTCTTACCCAGACCCATCAGGAAAAATGTCTTTTGGGGGGAGTTACAAAGTTGGTGGTTCAAGTTCACCTGCTGTTCCTTGGAAACCCTATACAGGGTCGCTATGGGTCAGAATCGACTCGATGGCACTTAACAACAACAACATTTGTAAGGAAGAAGTATAGCTAGCCCTATTCAAGATGCTATGACCCCATACATAGAACATACCAAACATTTTACAAGAAAGCTATTGGAACCATTAGAAGGATTCAGGAAAATAGTAGAATACAAGCTCAACATGTAAAAATCAGCTGGCTTTAGACCCAGAGAGGGAGAGGGGCTGTGTGCTGACGACCAGGGGGCAGGCTTGTAGTGTATACCCTTTGGTTGGTTGATGATGCATGGAGGGGATTGTAACCATGGCAATGAAACGATATATGATAGGATGAATGTAAAACTAATGTTCTCCCATGTAAACTATCACATAATTCACAATAAAACACACACACACACAAAGTCAGCTGGATTCTTTTACACCAACAAAGAATTTTGAAAAAGAAATCAGGAAAACAATGTCATTTACAATAGCCAACAAAAGATAAAATACTAAGAAATAAATCTAACCAGGAACATAAAAGACCTACACAAAGCAAACCACAAAATACTACTGCCAGAAACCTATAGAGAACTACATAATGGAAAAACAAAAAAACAAAAAAATCATGCTCATGGATAGGATGACTTAACATTGTGAAAATGTCAATACTACTCAAAGTGATCTGTAGATACAGTGCAATTCGATCCAAATTCAAATAGCATTCTTTAACAAGGTGGAAGAAATAATCATCAACTTTATATGGAAGGGAAAGAGGCCCTAGGTAAGTATAGCATAGTTGAAGAAGAATAATGTAGGCCTCAAACTCCTTTATCTCAGTACTAGACAGTGGGTCACTATAGTCAAAGCAGCCTGGTATTTGTACAATTACAGACATAAAGACCGATGGAACAGAACTGAGGATCCAGATGCAAATATAGCCACCCATGGACAGCGAGTCTTCGACAAAGAGTCAAAGTTCATTTAGTGGGGGAAGAGACAGTCTCTTTAACAAATGGTGCTGGCACAACTGTATGTCTATCTGTAGAAAAATGAATCAGAACCCATGCCTCATATCATACACAAAAACTAACCAAAATGTATCAAAACCCTAAATATAGCACCTAGAACTATAAAGACTGCAGAAGAAAAAGTAGGGACAACACTAGAGGTCCTAATATATGGCATAAATAGAATACCAAACATAACTAGAAATGCACAAAAAGGAGATGAACTAGATACATGGGACCTCCTAAAAGTTAAATACTTATACTCATCAAAAGCCTTATGCAAAAGAGTGAAAAATAGCCTATAGACTGGGAAAACTTTTTTGGCTATGAAATATTCAACAATGGTATCATCTATACAATTTATAGAAAACTTCAATATCTCAACAGCAAAAAGACACATAATCTAATTTAAAAACAGGCAAAGGATATGAATAGATACTTCACCAAAGAAGACATTTAGTGGCTAACAAACACTTGAAGAAATGCTCATGATCATTAGCTATCAGTACAAATCAAAACTACAATGAGATTTCATCTCATCCTATCAATAATGGCACTAGTGGAAACACACACACACACACACACAAAAAAAACAACCCAGATAATAAATATTGGCAAGATTGCAGAGTGATTGGAATTTTTATACACTGCTGGTGGGAATGTAAAATGGTACCCCCACTATTAAAAATGGCATGGTGCTTCCATAAAGCTAGAAACAGAAATACCATAGGATACCAATCCTACTCCTTGGTATATATGTCCTAAAGAAATAAGTGTTGTGACATGAATAGACATGCACATCTATGTTCATAGCGGCATTAGTCACAATAGCAAAAAGATGGAAACAACCTAAGGGCCCATCAATGGTTGACTGGATAAACAAACTGTGGTACATATACACGGTAGAATACTATACAATGATAAAGAGTAACAATGAGTCCACAAAACATCTTACAACATGGATAAATTTGGAGGACATTAAGGAGCTCTGGTAGCATAGTGGTTATGAGTCAGGCTGCTAACCTTAAGGTTAGCAGTTCGAAACTACCAGCTGTTCCACGAGGAAAGATGAGGCTTTCTGCTCCAGTAAAAATTTACAGCCCCAGAAACCCCGTACAGGGTCACTATGAGTTGGAATCGACTCCACGGCACCGAACAGTGATGATGCTGATTGAAATAAGTCAATCACAAAGGACAACTATTGTATGAGCCCACCAAAAGAAAATAAGAAAAGATTTATATTCAGAAAAAAAAAAAGTATTTGATGGTTTCCAGGGAAAGAATGAGTCCTGGTGTGGCGCTGTAGAATAAGTACTGGACTGGTAATTGCAGGGTCAGCTGTTCTCAGAGACCCTTTATAGGGTTGCTGTGAGTCTGAATGGAGTCCTGGTGTGGCCCTGTGGGTTAATGCGTCAAACTGTAAAGTCATTTGAACTGCAAGGTCAATGGTTCAAGTTCACCAGCTACTCCTCGAAAACCCTATACAGGGTCGCTATGGGTGGGAATCGACTCGATGGCACTTCACAACAACAACAACAACATGAGTCTGAACAGACTCATCAACTGAACAACAACAATAGGATAGCATGGGGAGGGAGGGAACATACTAACTAGATAGAAAGTGCATGTTAATAATGGTGAAGGAAAGGGCAATATACAATATGGGAGGCACAGCATGACCAACACAAAGGAAGACACTTGAGATCATTAGGGCAACAAATGGCAATTTCAGCAGTGCTTGTGGAAGATGTTGTTTCTGTTAAGTACCATTGAGTCAATTCTGACCCATAGCGACCCTGTATTGGGTTTCCAATGAGCAGCTGGTGAGCTTGAACCGCCAACCTTGCAAATTGCTTTGCAGTCTAGCACATTAACTCACAGCACCACACCAGGACTCCACTTAAGAAATCAAACAACACGTTGCATTGGGAAAATCTTCTGCA